ACTGAAGTCCTGGAAACCTGCAACTCAGTACATTTGATGACTGACTGTAATACAAACCTGAGCTGTGACTGTTATTAAGATATATCCAGATGCAAAAAAGACTTTATTTACCAATACACTTTTACCTTAGCAAATATTTTTGACATGAACTCAGACAAAAGCCGACTGCTTGTATAACATGCCAGCAGTCATCTGGTGAACTTATTAAAACTCAAAGACATAAACAGTGCAGAGATAGGCAGTAGTTGATATTAGGTTACCACAGTGAGGCACAACCTGACACATTTACAGGAGACAGTAGGTACACACACCAAAGGTCAAGTATTAAACACCCCTGACGAGCAGCAGTAAAAACAAACGTATCTGGCGGTCCCTGAGTGAGATACAAACCTGGAGTCAGCTAATCAGGTACCTTCGGACAAATTAGGGAATTAGTGAAGGGGTCAGCTGAGGGGGCAGTTAGGGAAATTGAATATTAACACTGATACGAATTGATGGTGTTATTTAATATCCTTATGTCTGAATATTGAATGTTACGTGAATATTTGAAAGTTATCACATATACTGTAGGTGTGCGAACTGTGGCAGAGATGAATTATGGAAGGTTGAACCCGGAGCACTCGACCAGGTGATGCCAGCCCTATAGGCACCAAATACCACCACAAATATTACCTCCCTTGTGTTACCACATTAAAGGCCAGAGACACCTGTGAGGGACACATTCCAGGAGATGTAGACAGCGCTACTGTGCTGGGCGACACTGAGCACATAAGCGAAAATGTCTTGGGATGGGATACGTCTGGGCGCCTTACACACAAAAAAAAAAAATGAATCGTGCCTAAAATTATGAACCAAAAAACAGATTTCATAATATAAACGTCAAGATTATAACAAAAACAGTAACAAAAAAGAAGAAATATTTCACAATCGCAAAGACTAAAACACAAAACAAAAACAAAATAAAAATCAACACTTGGACCCGTCGATGAGTTTCAAGGGATAGAAGAAAATATCAGCCAGAAATATATTCAAGGTAGAAGGAATTACGTGAGACCAGATATAGCACAAACACCACCAACACCAACAACACCACCACCAACACCAACAACAACAACAACACCAACAACCCGATATTTCTGGTCGATCTTGGTTGAGATGTCGCCTTCAGGAACCGTGATATGACCTCTCACTTGTTGTGTTATTTTGGTGGTGGGTATTGGTTGTTAGAGTCCATATGTGGGAGGTGTACTGAAGGGCTGCAGAAGACATGTCGTGGGTAATCTCAAAACATTAAGTTGATAAAGAGGAACACACACACACACACACTCTCTCAATCTCTCTCCACCTTCACCACCCTCCTCTCCACCTCCCCTTCCCCTCTCACCCTCACTTGCTGTAATTTCCCCTCTGGCTCCAGGTGGCGTGCCGGCCCGCCCTCACCACCTGTAGCTGTTCCCTTCACGCCCACTCCTCCCTTGCATTCAACACCCTCACTGTATCAGCCTGCAGGGAGGTAGGGTAGTCAGGACACGCCCACACCTGACGCTTCTGCTCACACACACACACACACACACACACCACTGGCCATAATAATATTTTTAGCCCCCTCTCCGTCTCTTCGTGTCTGACCGACCTGCTCCACTCCCGGAATGTAAATATATTCCCGGCCACGCATTACCATTATTCCAGTCTACCAAGTATATTAAAAAAAGTCGAAATATAGGAGAGATTATGAATTTATATAAAGTATAATTTTAAAGTGGCAAATTAAGAATGAGTCACGCTATACAACAACAAAACATCATAAAACACAAGAACATTCAACATCAACAAAATTACAATGATCAAGCGGAATTTTTGTTTTCTAATTGATGTTAAGTTAATGTTTGTAGCTAAGGTGTAATAATGTTGATCATATTTTTTTGGTTACTATTTGTGTTTTCTGTTAAGTTATGTCGTCATCAGTTACCAGGAATAGTGATTGGACGAGGTTTTCAGAATCTCGCTGCGGTACGAGTTAATTTTAAACTATTTCTCTGTATTTTTTTCTTATTTCTTCTGAAATATTTAATCACCAAAAGTTCTATCAATTAAACACTTGTAAATTTCTTAAGAGCATAATTTATAATGAAAATGTATCCTACCTGATATTTTATAGTTGACTAGCAGAATCGCCGCCCTCCGGGCGGCTCATCCGCTAGGCAACGATAGGACACCACCCTCCGGGGGGGCTCCACAGTGTCTCACTGTTCAGTCCCCAAAACTTCTTCTTCCATCAAAAGTTCATTAACGGTGTATGTAAGTTCCACCATATTTTTCACTACAACGGTACAGCAAAGTATATTTTCTTAGCATTAAACTGTTATTATTTTATTGTCTAATCATCACTACATATAACACCACCCATCATCACTACATGTAACATCATCCATCATCACTACATATAACACCATCCATCATCACTACATATAACACCATCCATCATCACTACATATAACATCACCCATCATCACTACATATAACACCATCCATCATCACTACATATAACACCATCCATCATCACTACATATAACACCACCCATCATCACTACATGTAACATCATCCATCATCACTACATATAACACCATCCATCATCACTACATATAACACCATCCATCATCACTACATATAACATCACCCATCATCACTACATATAACACCATCCATCACTACATATAACACCATCCATCATCACTACATATAACATCACCCATCATCACTACATATAACACCATCCATCATCACTACATATAACACCATCCATCATCACTACATATAACACCACCCATCATCACTACATACAACAACATCCATCATCACTACATATAACACCATCCATCATCACTACATATAACACCACCCATTATCACTACATATAACACCACCCATCATCACTACATATAACAACATCCATCCATCATTACATATAACACCATCCATCATCACTACTAATCATCACTACATATAACACCACCCATCATCACTGCATATAACAACATCCATCATCACTACATATAACACCATCCACCATCATTACTAATCATCACTACATATAACAACATCCATCATCACTACATATAATGCCATCCATCATCACCACTTATAACACCATCCATCATCACTACATATAACACCATCCATCATCACTACATATAACACAGTCCATCATCACTACATATAACACAATCCATCATCACTACATATAACACCATCCATCATCACTACATATAACACCATCCATCATCACTACATATAACACCATCCATCATCACTACATATAACAACATCCATCGTCACTACAGATCGGTAAAGTAGTTTCCGAGATTTTCGTGCGGACACACAGACATACTTCTTTGTTTTATATATATATATAGAAAATGTATACGTCATGGCGGCGACTCAATTATTGTTTTTGTTACGATTCATTATGTATTTTTGCCCCAGCGTCATTGTTGGGGGAAAACAATATCAAACAAATGGCGGGTGACGACCAACAGCTCTCACCTGGACGTCATGGTCTTTTGTCATTATACAATATTTTGTCTCTACCAACCACCGCCCCACCCCCTCCTTACTCCCCATAAATAAGACAGAAAACAGAATCCTAATAACACAGTGTACTCATATTGTCTTAAATTCCATAAACACCTTCAGGTTGATCCTGCTTTTGGAAAGACGAAAGTTGCCAGTTGATGGAGAGACTTGGGGTAACGCCAGTAGCTTAGACCGTACGCCAGATTAAAAAAAGTAATACAACAATAACCAAAGCTTTAGTAATTCAATGTTAATCCTGTTTAAGTATCATAGTTTTTTCAGATCAAAGCTTGAGGGAAGGTGACTTAGAGTTGGAGTTATATGTTTCTACCACTTTTCACTAGTTTATCCCAGGAGAGTAACAAGGTTAAGTCTAGGCGACCCTCTACATGATGAGGTGAGGGAGGGAGGGAGGGAGCAGCAGGGTCAAGTGGACAGATCGATGTGCTCGCCACTATCAGGCCACGTTGAAAAACTTTTTAAATCGTTGTTGCTTTTTTCAAGACTAATTTATAATAAGATACAAAATATAATTGATGATCCAGGATGTAGACCCTGGGAGGAGCACTCGTGAGTACCTCACACTTCTGATGTTAAGAATATACTGTATGTGCCACTCACCCATGGCGCCAACACCCCTATAACACCCTCCATAATGTTTCATTACATTAAAACCAGAATGGTTTCCTTCCAGGACGTCTGATAATAAGTATTTTTCCTTCTCACTAAAAACTTAAACTCTGTTCTCAATAAATTTGGTAAATGTTTCCTCGTTAACCAAGATAACTCAGAGTGAACGCTGGCGGGGCCCAACAACTCCGAGTGTCCGTTTATAGAGCTCACGCGGAGGATTTGTCTTAAGCCCCTCGAGAAAAACTCACTCCATGGAACTGGGGTAAATCCTCTTCTCTTTTGTATCTCACACTTGAATTAGGTGTTAGTGGACAGCCCAGCCTTACACACATGACCACTGAAAACACCAGGTTTGACCCAACACCTCTTTATTTTTCAGAGTTTTTTTTCTATCAGCAACAATGAGCAGAATATACATAATGCAGTACATCATCAGCAACTGCAATGTTCCTCTACAGTTTAACGGGAGGTAGCATTACCTAACGCACTCAAAATACCCTGCCCTATCCGTCTGTGTGTAATTACAGTAGGTCCTGGGGTCTTGAAATGAAGATGTGTCTCTGTGAATCTGTCTGTCTCAATATCTATCTATCTATCTATTTGAATAATACAAAAAATATCTTCTCTTGCTATAACTTTTGTAATGTTTAATTTTATAAACCTAAAAAAATAATCTTTCTTAAATTTCACTTTGTTTCAATTAATAAAGAAGGAAGAGAAATAAAACTAGAGTAAATTCATATATTTTTATTCAGTGTATTTTAATGTGCTATGCTTATTTAATTCACTTTACTTAAGTTGGGATTGACATGGCCTTCAGGGTTTGGGAGATGGAGTGCATTGTGGGTCTGTCAATGGCATTTTGCTGGAGGGTGGCCTTCACCACCTGCAGAAGGCCGCTGGGGCGGTTTGTCATTTTGGCTCCAATCTCCGCGAGCATCACTCCTACGCTGTAGACGTCAGCCGACAAAGTGCTCTCTCCTCCGGCCAGCACTGAGGGATCCATCCAGTCCAATACCTCTGGGTCGTTGTCAACCAGGACCTGATCCAGGTGCTGGTTCACACCGTTGAGGCACCCCATGCCAAAGTCAATCACATGGACCTCAGGAAATCCATTTTCGAACGATACTATGATGTTGTCAGACTTAAGGTCGTTGTGGACAACACCCCGTTCAGCGACTTCACACATCTTCTCTACGATGCCAACACTAATGCGGAAAAGATCCTCATCCTTGAGCCTCTGCTCGCAAAGAAGATCCCACAAGTTGGCATCGCCGCAGAAAGATGCCACAAAGGCAATAGGCTTAACGTCTTCCGTGCGGCGATCCAGCCTGAAGGAGAACTTGGTCTTGGCGAGGATTACAGGGGAGCCGCCAGCACCGGCCAAATGCAGGAGTTGGTCGACCTCTTGTATGAAGGACCCCAAGCTGCCTTCTGGCTTAAGTACCTTCAGGACAGCAACTTTCCCATTATATTGAATTTTGTAAACGGTTCCATGGGTACCCTCGCCGATCTGTACGGTTGTCTCATCGTAAAGGATATTTTCAAAGGCGAAAGTGGTAAGGTTGTCCACGCCACCTCGGTGACCCCACCAGCGGAGAATTCTTCCGAAGAACATTTTGAATTGAGCATTACTGTGACGGGTCTAAGGTCATCAACTTGAAATTTGGCCTTGAAGAGTAAAAATAATAATAATGAGGTTGGAATATTGGAGGAAAAGGTGGTGAAGGATCTTCACCACACTCGAGTGACTATACTATATTATTACTACATGCAGTGCAACACCAGTAATACATGCTGACCACAACACTAGTACTACATGCTGACCACAACACTAGTACTACATGCTGACCACAACACTAGTACTACATGCTCACCACAACACTAGTACTACATGCTCACCACAACACTAGTACTACATGCTCACTACAACACTAGTACTACATGCTCACCACAACACTAGTACTACATGCTCACCACAACACTAGTACTGCATGCTCACCACAACACTAGTACTACATGCTCACTACAACACTAGTACTACATGTTCACTACATCACTAGTACTACATGTTCACTACAACACTAGTACTACATGCTTACTGCAACACCAGTACTACATGTTCACTACAACACTAGTACTACATGTTCACTACATCACTAGTACTACATGTTCACCACAACACTAGTACTACATGTTCACTACAACACTAGTACTACATGTTCACCACAACACTAGTACTACATGCTCACTACATCACTAGTACTACATGTTCACCACAACACTAGTACTACATGTTCACTACATCACTAGTACTACATGTTCACCACAACACTAGTACTACATGTTCACTACAACACTAGTACAACATGTTCACCACAACACTAGTACTACATGTTCACTACAACACTAGTACTACATGTTCACTACAACACAAGTACTACATGTTCACTACAACACTAGTACTACATGTTCACTACAACACTAGTACTACATGTTCACTACAACACTAGTACTACATGTTCACCACAACACTAGTACTACATGTTCACTACATCACTAGTACTACATGTTCACCACAACACTAGTACTACATGTTCACTACAACACTAGTACAACATGTTCACCACAACACTAGTACTACATGTTCACTACAACACTAGTACTACATGTTCACTACAACACAAGTACTACATGTTCACTACAACACTAGTACTACATGTTCACTACAACACTAGTACTACATGTTCACTACAACACTAGTACTACATGTTCACTACAACACTAGTACTACATGTTCACTACAACACTAGTACTACATGCTCACCACAACACTAGTACTACATGCTCACCACAACACTAGTACTACATGCTCACCACAACACTAGTACTACATGCTCACCACAACACTAGTACTACATGCTCACCACAACACTAGTACTACATGCTCACCACAACACTAGTACTACATGCTCACTACAACACTAGTACTACATGCTCACCACAACACTAGTACTACATGCTCAGTACTGCATGCTCACCACAACACTAGTACTACATGCTCACTACAACACTAGTACTACATGTTCACTACAACACTAGTACTACATGTTCACTACAACACTAGTACTACATGTTCACTACAACACTAGTACTACATGTTCACTACATCACTACATGTTCACTACAACACTAGTACTACATGTTCACTACAACACTAGTACTACATGTTCACTACATCACTAGTACTACATGTTCACACAACACTAGTACTACATGTTCACTACATCACTAGTACTACATGTTCACCACAACACTAGTACTACATGTTCACTACAACACTAGTACAACATGTTCACCACAACACTAGTACTACATGTTCACTACAACACTAGTACTACATGTTCACTACAACACAAGTACTACATGTTCACTACAACACTAGTACTACATGTTCACTACAACACTAGTACTACATGTTCACTACAACACTAGTACTACATGTTCACTACAACACTAGTACTACATGTTCACTACAACACTAGTACTACATGTTCACTACAACACTAGTACTGCATGTTCACCACAACACTAGTACTGCATGTTCACCACAACATGGAGACTTGTGATGTAATAGTCAGCATTCTCGCCTCGCAAGAGAACGGACCTTGGTTCAATCCCCGGGCAGGGTGAAACTATGGGTAAGTTTCTTTACGCCATTTGCCTGTCTGCCCAGCAGTAATTGGGGACCTGGATGTTAATCGATTTGCGGATCGTGTTCCGGGGTAATGGTTAGACATTGCAGTTGACGAGTTGTCTGGTCTTCTCGAACTATTCCTGGACACTGGGTCATGCAGCTCTTTAACTCAGGATGTGGTTGTTGTGTTGACGCCAGCTTCTACACCTTAAACAAATTCACGCCCAAGGACCTCCTGCCACTGATGACGCGGAACCTGCCGCTCCCAAGGGACCCCCCCCCCTCCCCACAATGACGTTACCACACTGGTCTGGATGCACCTGTCTAAATATATGGATGCACCTAGTACTAAGAATAACCTCCTTAACTCAGAATATTTCCCCGGCTTTGAAGATAATTGTACAAGTTAATATATGTAGAGTAGGTTGACCCAGATACTATGGCATGGGAGTGATATTGACAGGTAGCATAGGGAGGAGGAGGGGAAGTATAGGGTTAATTACACGAGAGAGGAGAAGGTAGAGATTAAAAGACATTTACAGCGGGGCGCCAGAAGATGAGAAGACCCCTTGACTTAAATATTATTCAAGGAAATGAAGAAAAAATAATGTTTGATCATTACCAAGTTATGCATCTTTGAAAAGTACAATTTGATCTTAAAATACTTGGAACTAACTTTAGGATGGAAAAAAATGGAAATGGAAAATGTTTTTTTGTTTTGTTTATATACATATGTGAACGATATAAAGAGAAACATGGTAAAAGGCCCTTCCTCACAGTGACACACACTTCATGATGGATCAACAGTTATACACACACCGATGGCTGAAAAATTAATCGATTCAGTATCGTGTTGTATTAGAGGAAGTGACCCACAACTACTGGACGTGTGATGCTGTACGTGTAGTGTCCTTTAACGAAATGATTCAATAAAGATTCAACCGAACATAAACAAATCTTTTACTTGGGTCTCATCTATAATACCTTACGGGGTGTGAGTGGTGTGTGTTTTATTCCTTCTCAAGAGTCACACTAACAAAGGCGGGTCACATGAACGGCAATCAGAAACCCAACGTGGAAAAACTGTGCTTCAGGAGTGTTCTATGACCTATGCCCTATATGATGTCATTTAATACCCGGGACAGCTGTAGTTAACACAAATCTATAACATCTCGGTAACGTGGTGTCGACCTTGACTCCTTAACACCGCCGCCATTACTCCCGAGTTATTGAGAACCACGAATGATTCAGTTGAAAGAAAAAAACTTCAATTACTTTTAATTACTATATAGACCAACAATGATGGCTGCTGAGAGTACAGTCAGTCAGCACCAAGTACGAGACATTACAGTATATGACACAATACTTCCAACAAACATTATGACACAATACTTCCGACATTATGACACAATACTTCCGAAAAACATTATGACACAATACTTAAGAAAAAACATTATGACAATACTTGCAACAGACATTATGACAATACTTCCAACAAACATTATGACACAATACTTCCAACAAACATTATGACACAATACTTCCAACAAACATTATGACACAATACTTCCAACAAACATTATGACACAATACTTCCAACAAACATTGACACAATACTTCCAACAAACATTATGACACAATACTTCCAACAAACATTATGACACAATACTTCCAACAAACATTATGACACAATACTTTCAACAGACATTATGATACAAAACTTCCAATAAACATTATGGCACAATGCTTCCAATAAACATTATGACACAATACCTCCAATAAACATTATGACCCAATACTTCCAACAAACATTATGACACAATACTTTCAACAGACATTATGATACAAAACTTCCAATAAACATTATGGCACAATGCTTCCAATAAACATTATGACACAATACCTCCAATAAACATTATGACACAATGCTTCCAACAGTCATCTTTGTTGGCCCACAGTCATAATTGGATTTTTTTTAAAAGTGAATCACTTGTGTTTCTCTATCAACTCGGGCCAGTGGGTGGGGGGCAGGGGGTAACAGGTTCGGCAATACCTTCACACGTCACAGTGATGTAAGGACCATCTCATCTTATTACGGAGATGGTTACTTACTGATGACCTGAGAAGTATTTTACCTGATGATGAAACTGATCACAAGTTCCTATTATACGCCTATGTACAGTACACGAAGCTGATCATTACTAGTCTGTGTTCGAAAATTAAAAAATAAAATAAAAAATCTCATAACCTCTAGAAAATTATACCTCAAATATATTTTTCAATGCAATATGTGGAGATCTTAACTGAGTTTTTACACAAGTAGTGAGAGCAGCGAGGCGACAAAGAAGAAAGAATGAGGGGAGGGTGTTGGAGGCTGGGGAGAAAGGAGACCACACGTCCGCCGGTAGTGTTTCACCAATGAGAAAATTAAATATATTTCATCATCAACCACATCTCAAATTTAGAAGAAAAACGTATTAATTATTCTATTTTAAACCTACTGTAGACCTATTAAATTCTTCAGATAAAAAATTATTTGATTAATAAATTTGCGCATATGATTTTAAGAGGAGTCCGCCTGAAGGAGTCTGAAAAGCACTAATGAATAAAACGCCTAGAAGTATACATAGCTGTGTGGACGATGGTTAGAATTTTGTGAGAGGTTACATATATAAAAGTGGTGGTACTGTGCAGCAAGCTAAGGCACCAAGTAACTGACAGCCGGAGGGGAGGAGGCTAACAGTGAGGACCGGTTATCTTGATAAGCCGTTGGATAACTTAAGGATGATCTTGTCAAGGTGGCCTGAGGGGCTGGTATACGACCCTTCCAAAACGAGGCAACAGTACTGTTCGTGAGGACCAACACGGTTTATGTGGTGGTTGAGTAGCGAAGAAGTCACATTAGGAGTAGAGGAGACAGG